ACTTTATAAATGTGAAATGAAAAATTTTGTACAGGGTAAACTCTGGAACTACTTATCAGAATTTTTTTAACGAAAGAGTATATCAAGGAGAATGTTTATATTGCAATAGCATTTGTCTTAAGTTAATGAGTAATTGAGTTATCTATTAATTAAAATAAACTTGTAAATTGTATACCTATGCCTTTTTTACTAAAAAATAGTCGCTTGCTGAAAATAAATAATAATCAAACTCGACAATCACAGATGCTTCCAGGCAGGTCGGGGTTCAATGACGAATAATAAACAATTATTTTAATTATTTAGTTAAGCCAAAAAAAAACAATTAATTTTATCTGAATATCTTAGCGAATGTGTTACATTAGTTATTGGTAAAAAACTAATTTTCTTTTTGCAACTTAGAGTTTCTACCTACTATTATAAGTACCCTCTAAAATTGTCTACAAGAAATAGCGATCAGATGATGGAGATGATATCAAAATCAGAAAACTATCGAATATCCATAATGTCATAGGTAAGTATACTTACAAACATAATCATAACGAAATTGTTCGGTAAAATACGGTTGAGAACAGTACCTAAATATTTTAGTTGAAATCAGCAAAAAAATTGATATCTATTAATCGTATATCTATTCACATATTTGATATTATATTTTGGGCTTATAAAACAGATCGAGTTTAATTTTTTTAAGCATTCATCAAATTGAATTTTTGCACATTGCCTACTAAGATAGCTGAGTTGCACTTACATCATACATACATCAACGTATTCACAGTCAAAATAAAAAATATTATTCATATGAGTATGCACGTAGCGCGGGGTTAAGTAATAATAATATAGCATAATGTAATATCCTACCTGATAATATACTGCTCGCGTTATAACAAGCGAGTCTCGTATAGATATGCCATTTTTAACGAGCAACGGGAGCAGCTAGTATATTATTAACATATAAAAATAATAATTTAAATATAATATAATTTTGTTACACATAGTAGGTAGGTACTAGGTATATACAATTACAATATACATGCATCTAAGCACAATATGTGCATATTGAACTTGTTTTCTTATCTTTTATGGGTTAGGTAATAATTTTACTTTTTTTAGTATATGTATTTATTATTGTTTTATTTAAAAAATTTTAACGGACCGCATAGAATACCTTCTCAGGCCGCGGGTTGGGCACCACTGTTATATGGAACGTGGGTCTACTCAGTAGTTTAGTCCAAAGAATTTTAATAACATTGGCAAGTGTCTTGAAATTCAATAAGTAAATTTTATCTAAACATTTATACTTATTAGTTATTTTTATGAATAACCTTCATATTGTATTAACTTTGCCACAACATGTTAACTATTAAATCATCATAACCATAACCCAGCTAGTTCTAACATGAGTTTTGTACAAAATCAAAATCCATTGTTTCTCCTTCAGTAAAAATAATATTCACTATTGTTGAGTTGTCTAGGAAATATTCAAAACAATTCAAATATTATGGCTCGTCTATTTTTATAAAAATAATTATTTTAAAATAAAACATTACCAAAAATGATTCAAATAAAGTCCATAAAACCTCAATTCATATACAAGATACAAAATATAGTAACATAGTGGGTGTTTGGCTTCAGTCCCAAAAGTGTTCTGAGGTCAAGAATCAGTCGGTGTCACCAATGCCCGGATGGGTGACCACCCGGGTTTTATTGATAAGCCCTGGCCACATATATATTATACACGTGTTCCGTGTTCTAACCGATCGTTCCATCCCCACAGTTAAAAACCTACGAAACAACCTTTAGAGTTCTGGCTAATGAAATGATCATAGATAGATTTTGAAGCCTTAGCTTAAAAATAAAAATAAAAATAAAATAAATATACTTAGTGTAAGTGTGGAATAGCCAATTCATTTTTCATATCAAGTCATCTTCAATATTTTTATTACATATTTAATATAGGCACATACAGATAATAATAATATAATAATATAATGATTATCAAATCAACTTATTTCATCAAAAACATTTTCAAAAAACTCGTATTAACTAGAGAGTCAAAATAAATACCTAATAATGATTATATTATTTTGACGTATTAAAAAATCTATCCCTAATTTAATATCATTTCTGTTATAAACAAAACTGTATTTTTTAATAACAATATTATACTGTTGTTTAACTATTGTACGGTTCAATAATAATAATAATAATAATAATAACAATTTCTACCAACTATAAAATTATACTTATATCATAATATATTACAACAAACATTAAACATACATAAGACATAACTACATATCACACATATATATAATATATATATATTATATAAGCATGAATAAATAATTTGTTATAGGTACATAAAATAATATAACTATTGTCTATTAGTAAAATATTTTATTATGATTGCATTATATTTCGGGTAACAATTTTTTTTTGATAATAACGAAGGTGGTTTAATCAACTCTAATCGACTGCCTCTAGACAGAGTGAATGATGGAGTCTAAGTTAATATCTCTTTGCCAGACCCGTTGTAAAGATATTTTCTAACTACAAATTACTATACTCTTTGATCTACAGTCATGGATTAACCGCATATACTATAGAGTTCTTGCATTGCGTCATCGGCTTACAAACAATAATAATTGTAGCTGCAGCAGTGGATGTAATAATTTACTTTTATTCTACCGAACTAGACAACCAGTGATCAGTAACTCAAATCACACTGATATGTACTGACAATAGTATATTACATTTTAATACCTACATAACATATGCATTTCCAAACAAACGCTTAATATAATCTAAATCTTATAAACCAATAGCCAATAGGTATGCCTAAATACCAATGTTTTTCCCGTTTACTTCTACAAGACTTTACCATCTGTTCAGGCGAGAACAATTATTTATTGTAGCGTATGTGTTAAAGATATAAATACATTATACATAATCAGGTAGATATCTAAATAATATACTAAACTTTTGAACGAAAAAGTCAGTCGATGAAACTACTTATTTTCATTAGGTAGGTCAATATAATTTAGTAAGATTAGTGTTATGGTAGAACTGATGTAAGTTCTAGTAATTTAAAAGATTGTAACGAAATTTGCGCTTTGAGCATCTTATAATATGTTCTATAACCTTAAACCTAACCTTTACAAATAATAATTAAGGCTGATGCGCTGAAACTCCATTTCGTAATGTCAGCATATTACACGTATATATAGCCATACAGCTAAACAGATAAGTACCTAATTCAAAAATCACAGGATATGTATAAGCCACGAGTGCAGTGGTGCACAAATAATCTTTTAAAAATGTAAAATATTTAAAAAGTTTCTGTATTATAAATTGAAATAGTCAATATAGGTATGGATATTAAATCATATATTATTTTATATTGGTACTTTTTTTATTGATCGGTTTCTATGGCCATTAGCATTTTGTAGGAGACCCCCTGTTACGGTTGGTTGTGAAACACCTATGCATTATTAATTTTATTACCTGCTAATTATGTACATAATATGATATATGTATAATATATTTAACATTTTTATATTATTTTCAATAAAGATAAATACACTTCATATGACCATATCTGACGGCATGTCGTCGTTCCAATACACAGATAATATACAACTGATGCACAAATTTTTTGTTTGTCAACGTGTTATTGTGTAGGTTATATTATATTTGTATGGCCTCCCTGTGCACAATGGAAATTTGACGCTTTGCGGTTAGTTAATCTCATAGGTATTATATTGGTAAATATACGCACCGCGCACGCTCGTCAAAAGTTACTACAATGTTGTTCAACAAATTCCAATGAAATTATACATTTATACAAAATTATCGCATATAGTAAATCCATACCATGTAGGTATGACAAAATACATTTGTTTTGTCATGCATATGGATAGACATGTGCAAGGTTAAAAGTAAATCATTAAAAATGTCATTAAAATATTTTTTGGAGTATTTGATTTTACTATTTTTCTTTTAGACAAACTATTTCTTAAGGGTGTCGTAATCGAAAAAGTTTGGAAACCTCTGCTTTAACTGCACCTGACAATTTGAAAAATGCTATCATGGGCGACAAAACAGTGACGTAGGCTTGGGAGACATTTTCGACAACTCAAATAAATGACTAGAAGCCTCTTAATTTTGAGAGGCAGGATTACGAAAGAAGGAAAAATACTAACTTGAAACTTTAAACTTACAATAAACCAAATATTATTTTTTTTTTTTGAAAGCCAAGCGTTCAGAAAGGGCGGGTCGTGATATGTTGAGGGGAGCATAATTTGAAAAGTACTGATTAATAAGCCGTCTTGCAAGCGCCCCAGGGGAAAACCTTGGCAACGGTGGTAAGATTATGCAGACATAAGAGCGGTAGACGGAACAGCAAACATTGAGACTGCAACTGACTGTAATAAATGTAGGAGTTTGATAGAAGCTGCAAAAAACTTAAATAACCAATAAAGCAAAAAAAAAAACAATATATATATGATATAATACCAATACATATATTGATGAAAACGGGGAGGCTCTAAATTTTCCATTGGACAATTAAAAGACAATTTGTTCAATTAAAATTTAAAACCACTAAAACTTGCTTATTATCAGTAACAGAGTCCATCTAGTTACCTAAAAGGTAAATAAAACAAAACTATGTACTTTTTAAAATGTTTCAAACTTTTATAAATATACAAATTTTACAACTGCATGTCTGCACACAATGATAATATTCAACAATACAATTCTCAGAATAAATTAGTATTATTTAACCCTTAAAGATAACATTTTTAGATAGAAAATTAGAAACATTAAATTTAGGTATGTTATTTAATAATAATTGTTCCTCGAACCGCTAAGTACTATATTACAATATAAAATAAGAAAAGTAAGAAAGACATACCTATACAATAATAATATAAAAATTATTATTTATTGTAATACAAACATTTGATTATGTACTCAAAAAAAAAAAAATTACAAAAACATCAGAATTAAAATATAATCAATTATAAATGTTATATCCATAATGTACAGCCGTATAGGTAGGTACATTAAGACATTAAGTAGTTTTTTAGTTATTATAGTTCTTACACTATAGGTTGAATTTCCTTTACATCTTTCTGCTCCTCATTATTCCATTTTTGTAATTTAGAACTTCCAAAAATCAAAAATGCAATTCCTGTTAATGAACAAAATGCTGCCGATACAATAAATACTTTTTTCCATTGTTCTATGGTTTGCTGAAAAATAACAATTTAAGCTAATGACTGTCAAATATTAATATAATTTATTTGATATCATACATATTTTTAAGTATATTAATAAAACAAGACTTTGTGAATACAATATTACAATTGCTATCGGCATGGATTATCGTTTACTTATATGAAAATAAAACGAAATTGAAATTGTCTATATTTTGTACAATATAATTTTTCTTATACTATAGATTATAGAATATTAAAATAATAAATATTATGTACCATATATACCATACTATCTATTTACTACATATTATATACCATACTATTAATACCATCATGCAGAGTTACATTAAAAATTAATTCATTAAATGATTTCCCTAAAATTTGGGGTTCCGAATCATATTGAAGCTACTTGGACAATTATTCATTAAATGTTTAGTCATTGTTTATGCGACCCGGCAGCAGTGATCAGTCTCTTTAGTATAGTTATATTATTAAATCAATGCGAGTGTATTAGCCTATAGACAGTAGACACTTATACCTAAAAAATAACAATTCGAGAATGAGGATAATTATTTAGATTCCCGTGAATTTAAAAATAGAGTAACAACTTTAAATCTCGAATAGTGAATTCCCAAACAACTATCTGCTATAGGTGGTTGAGTTTAATTGATTAACTATTATGAAATAATAATAATAATTAAAAAACGAAATACCTGTTGATATGTGATCAATCCCACAATGTATGGTGAAATACTAATGCAAAATATCACAATTGTTCCATTTATGCCTTGTAACACTCCCGCGAAATTTGGAGCTAGATCCACAATTCCTGGAAGTGCACCCGAAGAAATGGCACCACTCACGACCACGGCGCATACCAAATTAAATATGACAAAGGTTTCGTTACACCCAGAATATGCAAACGTCAAAATAAACAGGCCATGGACTATGTTGCTGAAAACGCATGCCAGTTTGCGAACGTTCGTTATGGACATTGTCTTAGCTTGGATTAAATGATCACATAAACAACCAAAACTAAATGCAAATGGCCATAAAAACAAATGTGGTACACCAGACCATATACCTGTCTAGTAGTGAACAACTTATTATTATATATTATTTGTAATTTCACGTCACGAATAAACAAACTTACCTGTTTCAAGTTAAAACCCAACACAAATTTGAAATACGTTGGTGCTTGGAGGGATATTGTGTACATTCCCCAGTTATAACCAATTTGCGAAATGATGTTCACCATTAAAGGCAAAGACGTCATAATTGATTTCCAAGGTGTTGAAGACTATAAAAGCATTTAAAATATGAGCGAAACCAAAATACTACACGTCTTCACTTAATGCGAATATGAATTATGAATAATAATTAATGCAATAATAATATTTTACACTTACGGAAACATTTTTTACGATAGAGTTGCCTAGACTGTTTTCTATATATTTTACTTCTTTCTCGGTTATAGTCGGATGTAATCTTGGTGAATCATATACTAGATAAGTCCAACATAAATGCCACACCAAACCAATTGCTCCCGTTATGTAAAATACACTCTCCCAACCCAGCCAATCCATTAAGTAACCACATACCATGTAAGTCACAGCCGTTCCAACAGATGTACCTTCACAACACACGCGATAAACATAGATGTAACTTTTAGAAATGTGTCTATTAAAACACATACAATTGTACTATAAATAGATACCCGTGTATATTATTACAAAGGTGTTAACATTAATTTAAATATGGTTTGTTTAGGTAAATAACATTACATATGGGTAGTAATTAACAAAACAAATATACGTTATGTTCTTTAGTTACACACTATATAGGTACACAAATGTACGATTTCCAATTAACAAACTATTTACGTAACAGCGTAAGTACTATGTATATTACATAGATGCTGATTAACATCTGGTTATTCGTTGGTTATTTGATATTAATAGTGAGCCAATGGCCCATATGCCGAGGCTTATCTAAATAAGAATAAAAAAATCTAATAAAAATAAAATAAATATGAGATCCTGCCTGTCGCTAGACTCCGGAGCTGCTCATTATGTCACTAAACTAATTAATTACAGTCTATCATCGACAACCCATCCAGCAACACGTTTAAAGATTAAAAAATGATACTCCCACGACAGTTTGCCATAACTATATAGGTAGTATAGTCTCGCAAAAGGATACTTTTTCTATACTCAAAAAACATCGATATTGTGTACAAAGTGTGTAGATCCATCATATTATAAATATTAATATATGTCAATGTCTATATTTCGTTTCATAGTCGCACCTAATTACGATAATTAATCAACAAAAGTAGAATTTAGGTATATAAAATAAAGAATAGATTTTTAGATATTTAGACCTATATAAGTATCTATAAGGTCAAACAGCTGGTATCTCAAAAATAATTTAATCAAGTAATAAGTTAGTTTATTTTTCTCGTTATTTTTTTTCCAAATATTTTTCCTGAGTGTTATGTAACTTAAAAAGTCACATATTTCTATATATATATTACGCCTAATAATAAATAATATCATTATTTTTAGATAGGCTATATTATTATAGTAATATAACTAACAATAATTAACGAATGAAATAATATCATGTTAGTAAATGTAATTTGTACGAATAAAGTAATTTCAATATTATTTTTTTAACTGCTTATTGATTGCTGCGAGTCCAACATTTTCACATTACATGCCTCGGGACATATCCATTTACCCGTAACAACTAACGAAACATTCCAAACGATAGAACCTATGAATACAATCATTTTAGTATTATACCTATATCGTATTTATTTTATATATATATATTATTTATTGATACATGTGCGCATATGGCTATATGCCTATTATATATATTATATTTTATAATTTCTATTATATAACCTCCGTTCTAATACTACATTATTATAACAAAATTTCATGGCACCTGCTTTTGCTTCGTAGTCGTGACTCGTGGCCATAGACAAATATACCGTTTCATACTTTCATTCAAATATAGATGATAATAAATATGGTATATAACTATATAAGTAGGAAAAATAATAAGAACAAAAACATACCGATTTTTTTCTTTGGTCTCTACCCAATTGGAAAATTTCGTTGTAAATTAAATTAAATTTACACAGATATTATTATCATTTAAAATCCATCTTAGTACCTTCTTCGTAGTATTTATTTTATTTAAATTTATTTATTAGGTATTAAATGTTTAACCTATATCGACAAATTAATTGTCTATTAATCGATTTTTTTCTTAGATGTCAGAGTCGAGTACCCACTTACCAAAGTAAGAAGGCCATCAAGGCATAGTTATATTATTTTTAAATAATTAAAAACTGAATTCTAAAAATAACAATGAGTAAACTAAACTTAAAACATAAATACCTAAGTATGCTGACACGAAACGGCTTCTTTCGTGAGGTGGTATCCATTTACCCGTCATCGCCTGCATCGATGGCCATGCTAATCCAGCTATGAGACCTTGAAAAACTCGTATTAAAATCAAAGCATTGAAATTAAGTTTTGCCGACAGTGGTATCACACAAGTCAGGAGAGCAACTAAGCCGTTACTATAGCCAAATATGGATTTTGCGCCGAATTTTTGTGCTAATAAGCCACCAGGAATTTGTAACACCATATGTAACCAAAAAAATGAACCTTTAGCCATATTTTGTTGGTGTTCATCCCACTGGAAAACATTGCCCTAAGAGTTAACAAATAAAATCAATTTTTTTATAAAACGGGATTACAAATTAATTTAAAAATAATATTTCCCAGCAAAATACCTAGTTAAAACTTAATATGATATTATATATTTAAAAATTTTGGAATTTTCAAGGTCTTCTAACATCCTCAAATCATAATATTTAATATTATAAGTACAAAATAGTGTCACCTTGAGAGATTGTTTGTCTGTCGTAGTTGGGAAATGAGTCCGGTTCGGACTTTTTTTTATGATTAATATTGTATTTATGAATTTTGTCTTTAGTTAATTGGTTAATCATTTAAGTAATTAGTTTATGATTTACTATTAAACTATTGTATGTTATGTTTAATCATCTAGCATTACTTCTATGTTTATATTCAACTGTACTTGACCCTGTACTTGACACTGTACTTGAGCCCTGTGGTGTTTATCTTAATAAAATAAAAAAATAAATAAAAGCTCAGTCGAAAGTGATATTAATGGTATCTCTACTAAAAAATTCGATACTTTCTAAAATATTTTATTTAAGATAACTTTTTACTTAATATCGTATAAATCACGAAAACACATAAAGCATCATCTTATCAACTGTCATTACTATTGAGCCGAGTAATTCGTAGTATTACTATTTAGTATTTGCTGTTATAATTTAAAATTGTAAAGAAATCAACATTGTGAAATTATCTGTAAACATCGTGATCAATTTGAAGATTTTAAAATGTACAGAACATTTTTTTGGTAGAGCTGTTGATATGCCATTATTCAATTTAATATTTCCGTATAGCTACCTCTATTCTATAGCAATTTGTAAACAAACGTCAACAGTCTTACACGCATGAAACATTTCGTGTTGCCGTGTTGGGAAATATCACTTTAAAAGTTTTAACTACATCGACTTACAGTTTCACTGTGTATGATTTAACCCAACTCAATTCACACCGGTTAGATGTGTATACAATAATATTATCAATGTTTTATCAGTATCAATATTACTACCTAAATACCTAACTAACAATAATGGCGTATACAAATAGATTTATAATTGACCTTTAACATTACATACGATATCATCATTGTAATTTTGTTGTGTATCTCTTTGTATTTCTAGTTTAAAATCCGTAATGCCACTTAAAAACTGAACATCGTCACAACACATTTCACGAATCGCGGTGTTCCTACCTTGTACTTAATGCATATTTGTAAAAATAATACTTACATTATCTATGTTAGTGCCACTCAAATATGATGTATTCTGCAAAAGGCTATTGTTTTCATAGTATTCACTTTGTAATCCGTCTTTCACAGTTATTGGTCGAACCATAGACACTATTGCTATATTGAGATTCATTCGTAGCATGAAATTCATGCCGAAACCCCAAAAAGTCATGTACCATAATATTGTTCGTTCTGAAATCGTAATAAGCAGTAACACGTTAATTTTTTAATAAACAATCTTGCTCGAAAATAATGAATAAGTCTACTTGAAAACATAAACTAATAAATCGAAACAATTATAAGCTATTCACGATTAAATTCATAAATACGATTTGAATGTTATTTAAAAGTTTGAATTGACTTAGTGATTATTTTGAAACGTAACCGAAAGTTATCTAAGATATTTTACCAACTCTGCATGTTTCAACTGGTATTAAGTTGTGGCTTCTTCACAGATATTTTTTGATCGCTAAAAAAGCGCGAAGAAATCACCACTATGCGATGCTACATTAAACTAATGTACCTATTGCAATTATGATTATAATATATGCAATCTTATTTTATTGCCGGATTATGCGTGCAACTTGAAGACAGTGTTAAAACACAGCATATCTTTAATCTTAACCTTTGATTATGTAATCCTCGAAAATCCAATAGTTTCTTAATATTTTAACAACTGTATTTATTAAGTCATGAATTATTATGGTTATATGAATTTACGATACTAAATTGTTTATTTTATATCCAAATCCAAAAGCACAATCTATTATTTTTTAATGACAACAATAACTAATTATACCTACGTATAATGTGCCAGTGTGCTTATAATGATGTACCTATTACAATACTATTAAGTTGATTATTATAATTTTATTGATACTCTTACAGTTCAAAAAATTCAGACATGTTTTATGCTCATTCAAGTTAAGTCTTCTGTGGAAATATATCTATTTTAATATTTTATCAAACACCAGTGATTATCAACTGGTGGTTCGCGGCTTTAAAGGAGAACAATTAGAATTAGTATGAATATTCAACATTATGTATTAAGACATTAATTTAATAAACATGTGTACAATTAATTACAATATTATTTCCGGTTACATGAATTACTTCCACAGGGAAGCTTCCTCTGCACTCATATATTATAATTTGGGCAAATCTAAGTTCTTACACGAGACCGGACAGGTAAAAAATTACATAATATTATGTATGCTCCTACATTGTGAAAAAATGATATAATATATGTAAGTTCCTGCACGGTAAAAATATTTTACTTACTTATATCAGTTTCTACCCCAATCGTTTTATCTGTGGCTATTGGAATATGTTACTATGGATTAGGTGTGTATATTTCATTTTTTTAAATAAATAACATATAGGTTTTATTAAATTATTATTTTTATAACAAAATATAATTCCTATATAATATTTCATATACCGAGTGCGGGCGAATTCTGACGAATTTTAATTTAAGTTTATGAACCAAGCATTAGAGACAAAGTAATGAAACAAATTATATCTTATTGAATACAGAGATTATATTTAACTGTTACCAATAAAATCTTAATTTTTAAAAATTATAATACTTAAGCCTAACCTTAATAATTTTGGTATAAATATACAGTCGGCTATCCGTGTACGCATTTACGCACTATACTGTCAATATACGCCGTAATGGCAAAACGCATTGATTTACAGGCAAAATGTGACGTGTCCTGCACGATTATTGATAATGTAAAACTATACATCATGAACTTTAATCTAGCAACAACCGAGTTTATCTTATCTACATCATAGTGCATAACCACAACACTCTTCAAATTACCAGAGTCCACTGCCTCCATTCTGTATTAAAAACTAAAATGTTAGTCAATCTGATGCTACTGACTTACAAAAATATATTATAATACATATTTTATACTTTTATACTAACTTAAATGTAGTCAAACGAATGATACTTAAACAATTGTATTGCTGTGTAGGAACATATATAATTTTTTCTGCCATGTATTAACTGATGTAATACCTACCTACCTTTTTACCATTTGGGACCTTACGGCTTACACACATCGTTTGTGGAATTAACGTAGGTAATTCCCCTATAATTTATTTCACTTAATTTATTAAGCTAATTGTTCAGTTTTTGTAATAGATTGCAAAAATAAATAGAGTTGAATATATGTGTATATATATATATGTAAATAAAGTGAATTTACCCTATGAGTTATATAATATTGTATCAAAGAAGATACGAATTTCCTTTCAAGTGGTACATAAAAAATCTGTATAGTTATGGTACTTAACGGTTATTTTTTTTTTTATTTACCACAAAATAATTAAAATAATTTTTTAAGCTGTAATTGAATTTAAGCATCATCCAATTTGAACATTGAAGTATTTATTGTTTCGTACACAAAAACAAATATATTTATATTTATTTGTAAAACCAATACATTCATAGCTCTGCTCAGAATGTAAAATGAAAAAATTATTCCATTCAATATAATAATTCATACAACTCATATTGACGAGTTTGATCTTTCCTTGAACTCAGGTTTATTTGTATTCTTACATTTTAATAAATATGGGTTATTATTACTAACTATAAAATACAATATAATCCCCCTCCCCCGTTGAAAAAATCTTAAATGCCATTAGAATAATTCTATTAAAATAATTTATATTTAAATATCAAATCATTTTATAAATTTATACATAGATACTGAATGATAAGTTGAGTATTAAAGCATATGCTTAAAATGTGTCTCGCCATAATTATTCACGTCTAAAACATTTTTTTCTCATAAATATTTATGAAATTATATTTTGAAAATTATTAATATTTTAATAACCCACAATACATCACTAAAATGTATAATACACATGCGTACTATTTTTTGATTTATCTTAACCACCCAAAATGATAATACAAAAATGTTTGATGAAAATCTGGGTTAACCACTTTATAAGGTTATGCATCTGAATTCTGAATATTTTGAAAAATCAGTTGTACAACTATCATTAAGTATTCAAATAATTATGCAATTTTCTAAACTTGCAAAAGATTGGTAAAAATTATACGTATAAATAGTATAGTCAGTCGGGTGTGTATAGTAACAATCACATTGACTATTGAGACCAGCTGTACTCTGTAGGTATAAGTTTGAAATATTAAAATGCCTAATATTTTTTATTTTTTTTTTAATAGAAATAATATTTTTATCTTATTTTATACTTAAGTACAGACAAATTATCAGAACAATTTTTCTATGAATATTAAATCTTACTCTTTGTCCCTATTTATTTGTACTATAATGCTGTCATTATTTCACTTAAAGTTGCTATATACCTATACTAGAATAGTCTGCTGTTTTCCAATTAAATAATACCTATCGGCGTTATTATCAAGAAATTGTTCTATGGTAAAAATTCAAACAATAAAATAATGATTTCTTTTTACAATTTATAGTCACTCTTAGGGGTGGAGATGCCTGCTCCAAGAACATGAAAATAACATTTCATATTAAAATTAAATGTCAGGTATAAGCTTTAAAGATTGCAGATTGTTTTTTATTAACCGGCACCCACTTCATGAAAAGTATCCGCCCACTACAGTTTTCATATTCTGAAATAAATATAGGAATATTTTTTATTTTTCAAAATTCAAATAAAATGAAGTAATTAAGAAACAAATTACAACCTTATAACACAGTGCATTTTGTATGTATTTACTTACCAATATTATAAGGAAAAAAGACTTTTCATTCTTATGAATGCGATAGTAAGATACTATTTTGTTAAGCATATTTATGAATAAATTATGAGTATGAATTGAAACATTAGACATTAAAGACATTAAAGTTTTTGGCAAATAATTGTAGTTACTGGTCAGTTATTTTATTGACTGGAAAATGTATTGTTCTATGCATTTATTGTATGGCGAAGAACCGTTTATCATGAAATATTACAATTTATGAAAACACTCAATAATATGTGTATTAACTGAAGTATAATACCTAAATCAAGTAATTTATAAAAATTATAACTTATTAATATAAAATATAATTATCATGTATTATATTAAAATGCTGAAAATGACAATTTTTTTTTTATTAATATTAGGATGTGAAATAAACGGCTTAAACACCAAATAATTGTTTAAATATAACCATGAAATTAATAAAAATACGGAAACATAACGCTCCCTTATACTTTTTCTACAAGTGCGTAATATAGCAAACTGATATGTTAGCTTAATTTTCAGATATTACAGCGATATCGATAAGACTATAAGAGGAATAAAACACCTGGGACTATGCAATTCACACAAAAACAAAAGTTTCTGTGTGTATTCGGTATGCAGACGGTCTTGAATCTCATGTAAAGTGTTTACAGTTTGTGGATGTTTCCAGTGTACAAGGTGCGAATAGCGTTGTTGCTACTATTTATCAATGTTTTGAACATTTGAATATTAATATGAACTCATTAAATATAGTTGCACAATCATATGATGGTGCCAGTGTCGTGATGTATTGGAGGTGTCAGGCCAAAATAAAAGAAAAACATCCTAATGCAATTTACACACATTGTATGGCACATACACTTAATTTATTTGTAATATATATGTGTAAATGAGTTAAGGTATAGAATGTTAGAATGCCCAGTTTTTAGTGAGCACTAATTTATTATAATAAATTCAAATTATTTTAGTGTGCCTTAAATGTATTTAATACATTTAAAAATCTGTATACGTTCATTTTTCACGATCATCGAAATGTTCTAAGCTCATTCCAACACAGTTTAAATTAGAGTTAAGAAAAAGTAATGTGCTTAGAACATGTGATCTTCGATGAATTTCAAAAACCGTTTCAATAATTGTAATTATTAATTGGAGTTTTTAATAAATGAAGTTGAGGCTATAGGTGAATTAATTAAGATTAATTAAATGATTTAATAATAAATCAAAATAATTCTATAAAATCATGTGTTGATAAATATATTATTGTTACTTCACAGTCAAAATTTCTTAATTTAGGTATTTATTTATACATTATATATATATTTTTACAGCTATTAGTAGCCAAATAAAAAGTTGTGACTTTTTGATTGTGGTAACATTATTGAAAGATGTTCTTTGTATAATTTATAATATGCTTAGTATACTGCACTGCACTGAAGTCAAAATCAGCTACTTTAGGAAAAGCAAAATAAACTACTAATGGAGTTATGCAATTTTTCGAACAATTAAGATGTGAAGATGAGGTTTATACATTTTGGAAAAAAATTGAATTGATGGCTGAAGAATTTAATATAACTTTACAAATTAATCGCATAGGTATAGTTATTAGTTATAGTTATAATTTGTAAATAATTAGTACCTCTAATTTATTGTTTTTATATTTTTAAATGCTTATAGGTATATGTAAAAATATAATTTTTTAACTGTTTAAGGTTCAAAATGTAAATGAACTCAGCCTACATATTTGAATAGTTATCGCCTAGAAACAGTAACTAGAGAAAAAGATCAACAAAATAACTCATCAGTAAACAATTTTTGGATAATAACTGTATATTTTCCAGTAATTGAAACTGTGATTCCAAATCTTAAGCACAGATTTTCTGAGAAAAATGTATCAATGGATTGTTGATAACATTATGAGTTTAAACTATGAAACAAGTCTGGAGTTCATCAATCATTTTAAGGTTAATATAAATTCAAAAGTAAATTTTAATCATTACGAAACAATAATTTTATAACTGTATAGGATATTTCAAGTGTAAAGATTGATGTATTAAAAGCTGAAATGATGGTTGTTAATGATTGCCTACCACCAAACTTTACACTCAAAGATATGAAAAAGAAAAATTAAAAAAAAATCCTTTCCAAATTTATGCAAACTTTTGCAAATTACAATCATAATTCCGGTAAGCTCTGCTACTTGAGAGCGAAGTTTTTGGATGATGCGGTGGATAAAAACTTAGCTATGATCAAACATACTTCAGCAAAAAAAAAAAAAAGGTTTACCAGTTTATCTTTGGCTGAATATAAAAAAAATATTTGTTAAATCAGCTAAACACCGAAACTATTTTCAATAAATATTGCACGAAATCCAGAAAAATTATGTTGATTTAAAAATGTATAATATATTATTTATTTACTTAACAAGATTATGAAATTAAAATGTACCAATATATTACTGATATTGTAGTAAAAATATTAAGTTTGAAGTTGCTTTTCTCTGTTCATATGAAGGGTGTTAATATGTGTTTGAAGTTTTGATTCATCGATTATTGTAGGTCTAGGTATGCGGGGCGGCGAAGCCCTCCACGGCTCTGTGATGAATTTACAGATTCAGCACCCCCACGTTTTAGAGGTTTTATCACGCCTATGGTTTAAATATCTAATTTTGCACGAATTTAGACTTAAAATATATTTATAAAAAAATAAATTTAAGAAAATATATTTATTTATTTTTTAAATTTTATGGTGAAAGTATGAACTTAAGCTTAAAAAAATAATTTAATTTTTATGAATATCAAACTTTAGAATATTTTGGGAAATTTCAGTGGTCTACGCAAATTTTG